ATATAAATATAATATATCAAATTTCCGTATAAAAAAATCGCTTCTCATTTAATAAAGTAAAAGATTATTTTGAAAAAAAAAAAAGTACTTATATTTGGTAGGACTACCGAATACTTACAAACTTAGTAAGTTTGCTTAGTTTAGCCTACTAAAATGGTAAAAACTTACTTTTAACTTTTTATTTTGATAAATTTATAGATTTTAATCTCTTATTTTATACTATAACGTTTTAATCCCTTATCTATACGAATTTAAAAAAATAGCTCTTACTTAATATCAAGTTATAAAGTTTCGTTAGTTTTATTAATTAGCTATTATTATGTTAATTGACTATTAATTTTGTTAGTTGACTATTAATTTTGTTAACTGACTGTTAGTATCTGTTAACATTCTGTTATAGAAGAAATAAAATTTAAATTCAATTTTATTTGTTAGTTTTGTTAATAGAATACTAACGAAACGCCAATAGTCATTTAATAAAATTAATAGTCAATTAATAGAACATTATAACTTAACTTTAAATAAGAGTTATATTCTTCAATTCGTATTGATGAGAGATTAAAAGTGTTATAATATAAAGTGAGAATGGTTAAAATTTATAAATTTATTAAAATAAAGGGTTAAAAGTGTTATAATTAAAGTAAAGAGTTAAAACTTATAAATTTATTAATGTAAAAAATTAAAAGTATGTTTTAACCACTAAAATGGGCTCAAGCAAATTTCCAAGGGTGTAATGGCACTACAAGAAAATTCACATTTAGTGACTAAATTATTGGTCATTAAATCTTTATTTTTCGTTACAAATTATTATTAGTGATAAAATTTAAACCGTTAGTAAAACCCTTGTCATTAATGCTCTTAGTGACAAATTAAGTATATGTCACAAAAAATAATTTTATAGTGATAGAAAAAATTAATATTGTTAACAAGTTATTTATAACAATTTTATTCGTCACAAAAAACTATTCGTCACAAATGCAATTATGATGCAAAATTTAGTCATTAATTATTAAAATTGATATTAAATAAAAAAGATATTTATATAATTACAACACAAATATTTTAATAAAAATTTTGT